TAATATATTTTCCCATAATTATACAAATTAGTATATATATACATCATATATAATACAAAATATACAAACTTTGGTTTTGACATAAAATCTCTTTACATATTACAAATAAACAGCCTTAACCTAAGAAAATATATTCTTCAACAAAACGAAAATCTAAGTAGGTAAACAAAACATTGGAGAATATCTGCGTTTAACAGCGTTTATTGTCATTGTTGTCTTGCGGAAGAGATGAAGATACAACCAGTCTTTAAGAGGATATTAACCTATTTTATACAGAAAAACTTAGCGTTTGGGATCTATGTAATTGTTTTAAATTTCTGCATAGAAATGAAAACTTACGTAAAATAAATACACCACTTTTTTAAGTTTAGGTTCAGCTAAAACTAATATCATTTTAGGTACCTACTTGTTACGTAACCACCGAAGTTTAAAAAATTAAATAAACCTTCAAAAGTAGGTACATGACAATGCAATAATAATATCTAAATGGAACGATAAAAAAATTTACTAAGCCACCTGAAAAATTAAGGAAAAGGTAACATTCTGCATAACACAAAAGACGTTTAAAAAATTGTTGTTTATGGCTTTCATTACCCATACATGAATATGTTAGCTCTGAAAAGGGCAACGATATGTCATTCGAATCTAAATAAACAAAATGCAAATCACGTCTAGTATATCTTTTTTAATTTATGCCGTTTTGTTCGTTTCAACTTTGATATTCTCGTTTTGTAGTAAACACGATACAACAAAGTTGAAAATAAAAAGAAATATCTTTTCCAATAATTATTTTCGTATAAATTATGGGGTGTTACAATTTTTTAAACAGTCACAAGCACATTTTATCACCTTAGAGAGATTATAATGCAAAGATTAAACGTTATTTTTACATATACAGAATAAGCATCACTCCAAACCGGTGTAAATAAATGTTACAAATTTAATTACGGAAAGTTTGAGTAAGATAAGGTGCTTGGCCACTTGAATCTTAATTTTTCAGGTTATATTATTCATTTACCGCTATCTTTAGTTGACGTCACTTGTGTAGAGATTATTTTCGGAATTAAAAGGTAAATAATTTAATTTCTGCTACTGGCCTTGGGGGACATTTATATGAATGTAGGGTAGGACATCACTTACTAGGAAAGGCACATCTTGGTATGTACAAATCTATATAAAATATATTTTGCGCCTGGCAAACTAGTTTTACTTTCTCTGTAACTGGAATAAGGTATAGCACCCGAAAAGTAAGGGGGTCTATGATTATTGGAGATCAAAGATCATATTTTACAAAAAAAACAACCATTACCAATAAATTTACTGAACATTGTTTTATTTCTATATTGGAATACTGATGTTTTATTAGACATTTCAGATACTTGAATGATTTGACAGTTGGCATAAGAATTATAAGGTTTTGATTTGCAGAATCTACCGAACTCTTGAAAAAAGGTACTGTATATTCAAGGGCATAAAAAAGAAACATTTTTTTCACATAAACCACTCTCCTTTCAATTTTTTTTTACATACATGGTTTAGTTTCCTTCAACTACAAAGAACTACCTTTGGTGAAGCTATTAGTAATTTTTAAATCCTATTTTTTTCGATAATTGATTTGAAATAACTAGAAATTTAATTTTCCGTCAATAACAAGGTTTTTAGGTACTTAAACGAGGTCAAACTGAAAAAGTAGGGAGTTTAATATTTTTTTATACATATTATGGCGAAAAGAAGTTTTCGAGGTCGCTAAAAACATCAATGTTGTATTATAGTGGTCGCTAGTTGCGGTCTTTCTAAAAGACAACTTTTATTACCATATAAAATTGACACTACTGTTAAAATTGCTGAAAATGCATCGTTACTTAAACTTAAACTTAAAACTTAATTTATTAATTTCTTCTACCAATAGCTTCTATCATTAAATGTTGATTTTTTATCAAGTATGTTCGAAAATTAACAATGCTGTAATGACATTTGCATCATTGCAAAAAATTTCCTCATGCTAAATATCAATGTAATGCAATATAATTATATTTTGCAAAAGATATTTCGGAGAAATTCATGGACATGTTTTTGAGGTCGCTGAATCCGAATCCGGTGTTTGTTTTTACTTTGCATGCATCCTCGAGGTCATTCAAGGTCATCTCAAGGTAATTTGAGGTTTTTTTACGTGGATTCTACAGTCATTTTCCAAAGAATCTTTTCTGGTATAAATCTCATTAATGCATAACATGGTAACAATCTCAATCTGCGAAATGCACAATTGTGCCACAGAACTAGAAAACCTGCCTTGAGATGACCTTGAATGACCACCAGGATGCATACAAAGTAAAAATAAACACCAGATTCGGATTCAGCTACCCCAAAAACATGTCCATGAATTTTTTGGATTCAGAGTTTTGGAAGGTTTTTTGACCGTTTTACCTTCAAATGACCTTGAACTTGACGCGATGGAGCCTAACCGACCCGCTCATCGTAATCAGCGACCCCAAAAACCCTAGAATACCATCTTCGTTTCCGTGCACATGCCTAGATAAAATGTTGACCTGTGATTATCTATTCATGTAACGTAACCTCAAATATGTAAAAAAATGGCGATTTTGGCACTTTTAGGTTAAGATATCTCGAAAACCCAGAGCCAATTGAGAAATTTGGACCTCCGGAAAAGTATATGGTTTCTGGGTTAGAGGATCGGCTAAATTTTGTCCACCTGTGTTATTTTTTAGCGCCTTACATCTCAGAAACAAAAGACATTACACCATAAGTGTAGTAGATTCACGGTCTATAGAAAACTTATTTTGTTTGTTCTTTCAACACTTGCTTTAAAGCACCCCTTTTCAATCTGTTCATCTATATTTAGTTAACTGCTAGAACGGCGTAAATTATTGTAAATATACTTTGTTTTCTTTTAAAGAATAACTGAAACTTCGCTAAGACTGTCTTTAGGAAACTTGCTCTTACTGAAGTAGTAATCTTAGTAGTTTTTTGTATAGTTATCTACCCACCGCTAGATGAGGCCCTTTACATGTCGGTGATATAGTTGGTTGGTTCTCTGTCAAATACCTTGCGAGTAATAAATATTTCTTTTAATATGTCATTATGTAAATTCTAGGTTTGATGTAGCGAATAGAGTTTATGCCTAATATGGATAAAGCATATATCGACACTTTAGTACGAAAACATGCTTGCTCAGATTTCGGTTGGAAAACATGCTATCTCAAATTTCAGTTGGATAACACGCTATCTCAAATTAAGCTTGGAAAACATGCTAACTCAGATCTTAAAGTAAAAACATGCTATCTCAGTGTGACTAGAAAATTAAGTTGGCACATTGAATGATTGAAACTGTGCATTTATAATAAATTTATATAATATGTTTTTAAAAAAGTAGGGAATGTTTTTATGTTCAGGTACATTTTTTATTTTATTTTCAACATTTTTCAATAAATTTTTACTGTTATAAACACAAAATTGTTAATTAAAAAATAGAGTAATATGCAGTATGCTGCAACACGTACATTACTCGATATTTTTAGAAATAACAAATTATAAAAAAATAGTGTATACCTTAATATATAAAAATGTTTGTTATTACTAAAAATTATTCGATTTTTTTCATACAAGTTTGCTTTGATATCAAAATTAATAGCGTACTCTTATCTGATTTATAGTCGCTACTCTTGATACACTTATTTTTCTTTTTCACAAAATCTGGGATGCACAATTTATTCTGAAAATAATTTTGTATGCCTAAGGAGACTGCAATAAAAAGAATTATATAGTGGACCAGGCTAGGCCCC